GGTTAAAGAGACATTCTTAAGCCTCACATCACTCCAAAGTGTTTCACCACGGCCCAGTAGGTGTCCTCCAGTTTTCCGGTCTTTTTGAACTTGACTGCATCGGTCAAGGACTGCAGGACGTCTTGGAGGGGGTCCAGGTTCACAGACAGCTTCTACACAGACAGCAGAGACAGGATCTGAGTCCACCTGGACTTTTCCCTGCAGTGATATCTAACCTCACACTGTGAGTCCACCCACCTGCTGCCGAACGGTTTTCACCAGAAACTGACAAAGCTCCAGCGTTTTCACCACCTTCTCTTTGGCCACTTTGCTCTCCACCTGACCGACCTGCCCCAGACTCTGAAAGAAGGCAGAGGACAGGTTACGTTTTAACAGATGCTATGAAGAAGAAAAACCTAAGACTGAATCATTGATTAGAAGAACATTATGAGCAAAGCTGAAGTTATTTTTGGAAATCAAGATTTCTGCAAGAGGTTTCAAAATAAACAGAAGTTCTTTTACTCTGATAACAAATGAGACATCGTCGGTCATTTGTCACAGCAGTGTTACTGTAGCTTCCTGTGGGAGAAACATGTCTCAAAGTCAAGGCCCGTGGGCCAAATGTGGCCTGCCACAGCATTTTATGTAGAAAAGATGTAAACATTTCTTAAAATAAGCCTATCCTATTTTAAAGCCAGCGTTGACCAAACTACATCTCCCATAACACAATAGGGTTGGGCAATAATGGCAAAAAAAATTCTTCAYGATTAATTGTGGTATTTAGCCGATAACTAATTTGACRATTAATCCCCTGGAGTCCCTGGACACCCATCCTGGTCACATGACCAATTTAGTGGGAAAGATTTGCTCTTCATAAAAATCTGTTCCAAATTGTGTCAAAATTACAGACTTCAGGCTATACAACAAATTTTAAATTGTGTTGAWAGATAAATTACAGAACTTTGTTTTTAATGTTCATCATATTAGAAGCAGAGAGGAGCAGCGAGCTAACACTGTCTGGTGGCATTAATCGTATTAATCATCAAGTGCCAAAAAGTAATCAATTAATGTTTTTCTGATGATTAATTGCACACGATACGATTATGCCCAACCCTATAACACAAGATGATTATTTTACCTGTAAAATGACAACATCCCATCTGTACATACATGTCAAGTTGTAAGGATTGTCCGTAATTTACACAGATTTTCCATCATTTTGCAGGCATACGGAYATATAGAGCAATCTCAAGGATTTTTTCATGTTTTAGGGATTTTTTTTTTCAAAACCTCAGTTTCAAATTAATTTAACATGTCATAGTCTGTAGGATGTTTAAAAAAATACTCAACCTGCTCTGCCGCTAGAAATAAGGGTAGAAATAAGTTCTCCACGTTTTCCGCCCTCCTTTCCTCCTGCTTTATTGTCACCTCCAGGGCCACTGAAGTTACTTCCAACTGGCTCTCTGAGGCAACCATAATGCTCACATGGCCCTCAGTAAAAACAAGTTTAATACTCCTACATTACAGTAAAGTTCTGCTTTTACACACTTAATGAATTTGCCATTAATAGATACAGTACAGACCAAAGGTTTAGACACACCTTCTCATTCAAAGAGTTTTCTTTATTTTCATGACTATGAAAATTGTAGATTCAAAACTGAAGGCATCAAAACTATGAATTAACACATGTGGAATTATATAGTTAACAAAAAAATGTGCAACAACTGAAAATATGTTTTATATTCTAGATTCTTCAAAGTAGCCACCTTTTGCTTTGATTACTGCTTCACACACTCTTGGCATTCTCTTGATGAGCCTCAGGAGAAACCTGAAATGGTTTTCACTTCACAGGTGTGCCCTGTCAGGTTTAATAAGTGGGATTTCTTGCCTTTTAAATGGGGTTGGGACCATAAGTTGTGTTGTGCAGAAGGTGGATACAGTACGCCTGACACTGAGCCTAACCTAAACGCTAACCCCTAACC